GGGGGGGGGGGGGGGGGTAATGATTTATTGTATTTATTATTAAAGGGATAGAAAAAGAAAGTCACTGAAACCATAATACACTGCACCTTACAGTACAGAAATTTGTGTGAGAAGGGATACACAGCAGGTTCTACTTCACAAGAAGTCTACGTAGAGGCCACCTCTCACAATTCCACAGTCCTTAACTGGGGCAGTTTGATGACAGACCCTCCGCTAAACGGTAAGGACCATGTCAATGACAAGACCAGGACGGGTATTTTGTTCAGTCACATAGTTTGCTTCGCAGGAGATACGGCTATTGGGCCCCGGCCCCTTCCCAGCCTTCCATCTTGATCTACCTTCTCCTATTCCCACCAGCACCCAGACTCACCTTCTGAGGGCTGAAGATCACTTTGTATTTCCGAGTTCGGCCAGCCAACTTGTCAGCATTGACGAGACCTACAGACACAAGGAACGCAATCCAGAAAGCCATGGGCCATTTGTTAGACTAGAAGCAAGGAAGCGGATATCCTCTACAAGTGATATGGCCAACTCGAAACATCTTTTCTTTTTAAAGTGGGTTTTTTTTTTTTAAGCTTATTTATTTAAACAGAGACAGAGAGAGACAGAGCAAGTGGGGGAGGGGCAAAAAGAGAGAGAGGGAGAGAGAATCCCAAGCAGGCCAAAGCCCACTGTCAGCCCAAAGCCTGACATGGGGCTCGAACCCATGGAACACATGATCACCACCTGAGCTAAACAGACGCTTAACCGAATGCGCCACCCAGGAGCCCCTCGAACTATCTTTTCTTTTAAAAGGTCCTCACGGCCCAAGCCCTTAACCTTGGCCACTCCTTCCCAGGTCTTAGTTACACGCAGCACCATGGCATACTCACTGGCAACATATCGCATGTTCTTGATGCGCGGTCTGACCAAGAAGCACAACCTGCGGGAGAGAAAGGGAAAAGAACCGAAAGCCGCAGTGAAGGAAAGTCATGGAGGCGGTGATGGCAGCTTGGGAGAAACTGAAACGTGAACTCTCTCACCATCTGCTCGTCTTGCCGGGCCTACCGTTCTCAGCCGAGCCAAAGCTCGGCCAGGCTCCCCTGGCCTACAGAAGACTCCCTTCCGTACAACAGCTACACCGGCACTCGGGGTGGGGGTGGGGGGCGCCAGGGGCTCCTGCTCTCCCATAGTTTACAATCTACTGGGCAAAATGAGATGCACGTATGTATGGAGTATATTAATAATCAAGTCTTAAAAATAAAACAAGAAAGTATACAAGATAGTGTTTTTCAAATTGGGGTATTTTCCTCTAAAGGAGGATAAATGTTACTTACGACAGAAAAACAAACAAAATAAAAACATAGGCCAGACAACAGGCTGTATGTGACCGAGTGCCAGGTGAACAGGACAGATACTAAATACCAGGGAAATGCGGAGGAGGAGAAAAGCCCCCAGGAGTGGAAGGGCGACCCAGAGCTTCATGGAGCAGGTGGCACCGGCTCTGAAGGCTGGGTGCTTTTCGCAGGAGCAGTGAGGGCAGGAGAGAACTGCACGCAGTGAATGGAGTGGCCCGGGGCATGGGGCAAAGGCATAGCTGGGTGGCGTGTGTGTGTGTGTGTGTGTGTGTGTGTGTGTGTGTGTGTGCGTGCGCGTCAAGTAGAGGCTTGAGGGGACAAGTGACAGACGAGGCTGGAAAGGCAGCATGAGCCGTGCTGCAGACAGCCTTGGTATCTGTGATGGTCAATCTGGACTTCACTCGGTAAGTAAGGGGAGCCTTGGAGGTTCCTGTGAGGAGCGTAGTGGAAATATTTTTGGACGATTAATCAGTCTGGTTTAGCGACGGCAGACTGGATTAGAGAGAGACGAGAACAAGGGAGGGAGAAAGTGCCGAAAGGGAGACCAGTTACGAGGCCACGGCATGACCTAGGCGTGAGTTGGTAGAAGTGAAGGGAGATGAACCAGAGCGCAAACATGGCGCCAGGCTCCAGCCAAGGCCGGACCTGGGGCAGACGTGCGGGGCCCTCCTCCAGCCTGGGGCCCGGACGGACTCTCCCAGACACTCACTGTTCACTGGAGCTGACGGCTGGCTTGTTCTCCACCTTGTACAGCTTGTCTACTTCATGTTGCTACAGAGAGAAGCCAACAAGGCCAAGGATGTAAGTGCTTGAAACCCAAAGCATGACACAAAGGGGACTACAGTAAGGGCTCCTGTTCGTGGTACTTTCTAGGAATCAAACTGCCTCCCTGACAACCATCCCACCGAACTTTCCTCACGCTGGCAACAGAAAAAAATAACAAAAAACCAAGACCAAACAATTCAAAAACAATCCAAACAATAGCATCGATCCCCCTTCATCCACCTGATTCAGCTACTCTGCATTTACTAGTAGGGTAGTCACTCTTTGGTAATTTGTACTGCTCATCAAAAGCAAAACTGCTTAATGAGGAAAGAGGGGCCAGAGTCCACTGGGAAGAGGGGCAGGTACCTTCAAGATGGAGACATTGGCGATACGATCCAAAGGGCTCATGAGATCTGCCTCAATGAACAAGTCTTTTTTCCCCGGGAGCTGAAGGACACAGTATCTTGGGTCACTCACAGGTCCCACACGCTCCCTCAGCTGAGAGCCTGTCCAGCCATCCACTTAATAAAAGCACAGACCGAGTTGGGAGTGTGGGGGGCATCATATCATCTACTCCAGCACCTTATTCATTGTCTATATCCACACTGGACATTTCTTTATATATTCACCCCGTCTGTCTTCTCATTTCCTGTACCAGTAGAAAATTATTTCACCTTCTTTCCAAGGTTAAGGCCTGTCACTCAACACATATATATATATATAAATATATACATTTATTAAGCACATGCCATTGCTTGATTCTTCACTACGGACTCATTGGAGACAGTGTTGAACAAAACAGATGTCCTCAAGGACCTTCTAATCTAGTGGGGAACATGGACATTAAACAAATAAATAAGCATATAACCCATTACCACTATAGCAACAACATTATTTTCCAAGTAAGACAAGATAAAAATCTCAAGCTCAGCTTTGCTTCTCTCTCCACCTTCACGATCAGTAGATCTTTGAGTCTTCTTCCGTCCCGACTGAAAATCCATCACTTCCCTTCATTCCCACTGTCACTAATTTTGCCTCATCAATGGTCTCCCAGCTAGCGTTTCTCTTGTTGCCCATGTACCCCACTCCACACATGGCTATGAGCCATCTTCAAGCATTGCTTCACGCAGTTAAGTGGGGAAAGAAAATCTTCAGTGGGTCCTAAAGCCTACTGCATAATTTCTGATTGCTCTCTTCCCTGTAAATGCCTTGTCCTTCCCTGATTCCTCAACTTTGCTCCTACCAACCAGTCTATCTGCCTGGAACACGGCCCTCCATTTCCAAGGAGAATATGCTTATTCCTCACAATGCTAGAATCCTTGAAACTCCCGACCACTCCAACTAGAAATGGCTGCTTGTTCTGAATGCTTCTGACACTCTAGCTGTCACCCGTTTACCGCGTGATATCACCTATGTGGTTAATTTGCGCTTCACAGGGCTCCTACTAGAGTAAATCCCTAACGACAAAGATGTCTTAACCATCTCTCCATCCCCGGTGATGCGGGGCACGACTGGTCTCCCTTGCCTCTACGAAAAACGAGTGACTTTCATGAACTGTCCGTCAGGTCCCAAGCAGCTCTTACTGCCCTCTGGTTTTCCTCCCTAAATGCTTCATTTTTTGGACCTGCTATAGAAACTCCAAGGACAATACCAAGGGCCTGGACCCAGACCAAGGGGACTCCGCAAGAAAGAACAACGCGCGCAGCGAGCGCTAAACTGTTGATGCGGAAAAGGCCCCAGGCGTGGCGGGCACTGACCTGCTCCAGCAGATAGATGAGCTGGTCTCGGGCCAGTCTCTTGAGCATGGAGAAGTCAGGTAGCTCTGGGGCGTCCAGCCGATGGGGAAAAGCCATGGCAGCGAAAACCGGAGCCGCAGGGTGGAAGGGGGACGCCCTCCGCTCGGAGAAAGTCGGCAGCAGCCCAGGCTAAGCGCAGGGCGGCGCTCCTTCGGGCTTGGGCACCGTTCGAAAGAGCCCCCCGAAGGGGCTCTCGCTCCTGCACTGGAATGAATGGCCACCTGTCGGTCAGACAGCCGCAGCGTCGGAGGACACTCGTCCAGATCAGCAGCCCCGGGACGGACCCGCCCCTCCCCGGTCCACTCCCCCCGTCCCACGATTCCGGTCTACACCCGCAGGTTTCTTTCGCGGCGTGCGGGAAGAACCCCGCCTCCTGCCAGAGAGCGAAGCGACTTCCTAGACCTCCCGGAAGTCCCGTGCGCTCGACCAGCGCTTAGCGTATCGGGAAGGGGACGGCGTCCTGGAAGGGACAGTTGAAAACGCGGGAGCAACAGGCCAACGTTCCAGTCTCCTACCTGGCCAGAGGGGAGGGTTCCTGTCATAAAAGGATGACATCTTAAACTAATTTTTAAGGGTACACCCAATTCTCCCAGTTCGCGCAAGCGAGGGTTGGACACTTGCTAGATTTTGAGAACTTCGTAAAATGGGCGAGGCCGACTCGGAGTCCGGAGGGCACTGATCTCTGGGGATCTTGGCTGTCAGTCAAATCTATTCCACAAACTTGGCTGCCAACTGGGAGCGCTGTGGCTTCCCAACTGCAGGAGGCAAGACGCGGAGAGATGGGATGCGACGGAGAAAACAAGGGGAACGCGTTAGGATCCAATGGAAGCTAAGTCCCGCCCCCTGTGACCTTTGGCTACTGGAGTTTGGATAAATATCCTTCTTGGGAAAACGGATAAATAAGCTGTGGCATATTCATACAATAAAAATAACGGAATAAATGAAAGAACCCAGATACAGGGTGGCATCTGTATGATGCCATTAATATACAGTTCTAGAACAGGATAACATAATCAGTGGTGGAAAATTTTTCAGACAAGTGATTGGCTTTGGGGTAAGAATTGCCTGGGAAGAGAAATTAGGGAATTTTCAGGGGTGATAGTAATCATCCATATCTGCCTTGTTTTTTTGTTTTGTTTTGTTTTTAAGCCATTGTAATGGACGGATCCGCTGAGAATACCTGCACTCACTAATCAATCATAACATCACATCCTCATCTCGTGGTGAGATACGTAGAAGTACAAAGCATCACTCAATACCAAAAATTGAATCTGATCAAGTCTCAAGATCCAACTACCAGTTGATAGGAAATATAGAGAGTAGAGAGTAGTAGGGACATGATAATAGACATCATAGGAATAAAATGAACTATATCCAAAACACAGGAAATACGTAAGGGAAATAACCCATAAAACAGTGAAGGGAATAAAGTGGAAGAAACCACTTTAGAATATGATACTCCCGGGACATAACCACATCATGCAGTGTTGCAAAATGTGGACCTTGTCTGGATCCTAATCCCAAGAAATCAAACATGGAAGTCATTTATGAAACAGTAAGAGAATATTATCGGGATGTTAGCTGATATTGAATACTAAAACTTTTAAGGTATAGTAATGGCTTATGTGTCTATGTTAAAAAGGAGTCCTAATCTCTTTGAAATACATATTAAAGTACTTACAGATGAAATAATATGAAGTCTAAGATTTGCTTTAAAATAAGCCAGGGGGACCTGTGGGGCAAATAATGAAAGAAGATTGGCCATATGTTAAATGTGAAACTGAGCAATGGGTACACAGGGGTTCACTGCATTACAATATTATCCCTACTTTCATATGCTTGAAAAATCCTCTAATACAAGATTAAACAAAAAGCAAACAAGAAGCTTTTCTGCTCACACTGGGCTTCAAGAGCTCATCCAGTATTTTGTACTGAGCTTTTCCTACTCCCCCACCCCTCAGGAGATTGAATCTCAGCTGCAGAGAGGTGGAAACTGCCCTGAGCAGATTAGTGACACATATACCCTCCGGGGCGCAGGGACTTAAGTCCCTTCTGTTTGTAGTTTGCTAGCCTCTTGAGCTTGGCCCCAAGGTTGCAGAGAGTTTCCATTCCACCCACAGCCGCCTTCTCTCCAACTTGGGCAGAGCCTTGTCAGCTGTTGCTTCCTCCACCTGACCCTGCACCTGTGCCCCCAAAGTGCAACTCCACCTCGTGCGTTGTGATGTCAATGGCTTTCATCGTGTCATGGAATGGGACTCCCTGGGGAGAGGGCACTATAGAGTCCTATGACCCCAGCCCAGTGGAACAGACTGGGTGAATCCCACCTCCCCCTTTCCAGCTTGGGTTGGGCGCAGGGTGCGCAGTTTCCCCAAACACTGCAGTGCTGGTGAGTTAGGATGTGAGACATGCTGACAGAATAAAGCAGGAACCGATCAACTTGGAGAAAGCTTAGGTCTTGTTGTTGGCTGAGGTCCGGATGAGTAGGCTGGCAGAGGTAAAAGGCAGGGCTTTCTGCCATTGTGGACTGGCTGATCAGTGAGGTTTTCCAACCATTTCTTCATTCACTCAACCAATGTTGAAATCTATGTTAGGAGCTGAAAACTACAGCAATGAACACAGACCGGTCTCGTGCTCCCATGGGGTCTACATTCTAATGGAGGCAAAGTATGTGACGACAGACAATACAGTGGCAATCCATTTCAAATGGCAGGGAATATTAAACATGGTGATAGAATGTGAACATGGTGATAGAATGTGAAGGGAGTTGCTTTAGACTGGGTAATCAGGGAAAGCCTAAGAAAGTAACATTTGAGGGGGGCCCGGATGGCTCAGTCAGCTATGCGTCCAACTTCGGCTAGGGTCATGACCTCATGCATCGGGCTCTGTGCTAACAGAACCTGCTTCAGATTCTGTCTCCCTCTCTTTCCCAATCTCTCTCCCCCCACCCTCTCTCTCTCACACACACAATTAAAAATATGTATTTAAAAAAAAAGTAACATTTGATCTGAGACCTGAATGACACGGAACTGGCCATGTGAAAATCTGGAGACAAAGAACTAGTAAGGACAAAACCTTAGATTGGCATTTTTAAGAATGGAAAAAAGATTTAAGCTTGGTAAGTAACAGGATGGTAGGGAATGAGGTAAATGACAAACTTATCAAAGTTTTTAACAACAGCTTCTAATTTTCCGTAGCCAACTGGGGAAAGGGCATGGTCAAATGGTTTACAGGAGTTAAAAATGCCCGGGGCACCTGGGTGGCTCAGTCAGTTAAGCGTCTGACTTTGGCTCAGGTCATGATCTCGCAGTTTGTGAGTTTGAGCCCCGTGTTGGGCTCTGTGCTGACAGCTCGGAGCCCGGAGCCTGCTTCAGATTCTGTCTCCCTCTTTCTCTGCCCCTCCCCCACTCATGCACTGTCTCCCCCAAATAAGTATTTTTTTAAATGCCAGTTTAATCAGATAGCATCTTCCAAGGCGCCTGGGTGTCTTAGTCAGTTGAACACCCAACTCTTGATTTTGGTTCAGGTCATGATCCCAGTATCA